GGCCTGATCTCTTAATGAATGACTTATCTTTATGGCTCGCGTGAATCAAGTTCCAGGCAGCGCTTAAGTTAGCTTACAGTAAAAAGTGACCACACTGCAGATCTAAGCCCACATCCATTCGTTCCGGGCTAAGGCTGGGTCACTGAAGATGGCTTCGGTTACCATGTCTGCCCTGCAGGCACAGTGACACCATATCTGCCGCCACACATCATGGATTCATTAACCAGCCGTTCTGCCGACTGCTGCATGTATGCCTTAGAGCATATGAAAGCCTGTTTCAGTTCATTGGTATTTTCTTTAAAGCTGAGTAAGAGAGTGCTGCAGTTCTAGCAGTGCAGCCCTTGTTCCTTTCCTCACACCCCTGGTCGGGCATTCCGTTTTGATTGGCAGCTCATACATCTCCCTCTCACCACAGGGCGCCTGTAGCCCATGAAACCGATGCTGTCGGTGTTTAAACGTTTCCCCATGCTTTCGGGTAGCCCAAAGGAGGGACCCTCTCTCCTCTCTTCTCTCTTCCTCTAGAGAGGTAGAAGCGAGTACTGTGAACTGCCTCCCTGGTGGCATCCAGATATTTCTTTTTACTCCAAATCTGCAAAAAATATCACCCCCTTTATGTGTGCTAAGGAAGACGTTTTGGCACAGCTTTATTCTTATAAGATGTGACCTCTGCTCTGCAACGAGGTAAAAGACTTTCTCCTCTAGACGAGTTATCCGTAGCCCTGGTTTAGTTAGAGTTGCACATTTGCCCTCTGTGTTTTTTGGACTGGAGCCGAATTTACTGGCATGGCTTCTTTAATATGAGCCTCTCGAGTCACCCATTTCTGATCTGAGATTGTAGACACTCAGGTTCAGTGGTCCATCGTAAGGATTTTGCTTCCCGGTCTCACAGATGACCTGCCCATGGCTCAGAGACTGCTCTCTTGCTCTTTCGGTCACAGATGATGGTGTGATGATAAATGTGCTGGAAAGAGAAATGGAACGGAAAGAGGCTGGAAGACAATGAGAAGTGAAGCACAGGCAGCTGTAAGGTTTGCTGCACTTGCTTCGGTAGCTCTGGATGTTAGTTTTTAGTGCTTGGCCACAGTGTAGTACATTAGGCTGATGAGTTATAGAAGCAGCCAAGCCTTCTATTTTGTGTGCTTTACTCACAGCTGCACACCCTCCAATCACTAGAGGGCTGTACTTAAAGGCAGTGGAGCTCAGTGACCTAAACGTGGACCAGGATTACTTACATGTATCATCTGTGATATGACGAGATGATTTGAGTTAGAATTCTGGAGGTTTACATTGATTTTTTTAGGCAATCAGGCTTCTGCAAGCTCTGGCAGGGTTCAGTCCTGTGTTTGTTGGCAGTAGTACGGCATTCTTGAAGCTGCATCTCTAGTGGTGCGTCTAAGAGAGCCGGAATGTGCCAGTGAGATCCAAAGAGAAGTTAGAGATATGATGGAGGGTCTGTGTATCTTTTGGTCATTCAATTTTAATTTTAAAAACAATATTGAAGAACAGGAAAATGGGTCGATTGTCGTTTTTGGTTCAGTTGTTTTATAGTTTTACAAACGAATCAGAAAATCAAACAATAAACTAACAACAATGGAATAAAGGGTTGTATTTTATTTATCCAAATTTAAATATTTCTAACACTTTAACCGGATATAAACATGCAGATCGCATGTATATGGTCGCAGATGCACAGAAATCTGGCCTGTTGTTCTGGTGCATTGGTAGGCTATAGGCTACATTAGCTTTTTGTAGGCGTTTGTGTAGTGGAAGTGCACAGCTTTGCTCTATCTGCAAAACAGGGAAAGAATATGGGTAAGGGACTGGACTCCAGCCATTTAACGGTGGGCTTCAGCCAGATCAGCTGCTGATGTGCTTAAGTTCAAGTTAAGAAGTTTTTTGTCTGCGTTGTGCTGAACTCAGACTCCTTTTCATGTGCGTCATGCGAGCAAATGGACAATAGATAACACTTGCGCTTTCGGTTGTTTCTGTGCGTAAATAACGGTTAATCCTGACTTTGCCTTCACAACAAACAGCGTCTTGGTGAAAAAGGAGACACAGCAGAGGCCATGATTCTGTTATGAGAAGTGCTCTATATTTACACCAGCGGAAAAGGCACATACAGACAGGGCTGCTGGAACCACTGTGGCGATGCCCCACTACTTTTGGAGTGCAGAACGTGCACATAAAAACCTCCGCTTTTCCTAAACTGCATGAAGTGCTGACCAGCACGGACAGACATAGTAAAACTCAGCGGCAGAGCCAATCAGACTCTCCTTTTCAGCTGGGAGGCGCTTTCAGACCTGCCTTGGTTGGTGTGGACTTGTCCAACTGTTTTTTTATCGCCCGATTTCTGAGCTTCTGTGCCCATATACGCGCTCTGCGCGTTTATTTCCGGTTGAAGTGATAGAAATATTTAGATAAAATACAACCCTGCGTGCCATTGTTGTTAGGTTTTTTTAGTTTATGATTAGCTTGTGAAACTATAAAACAAAACTATTTATAGTTTTTCAAATGAAAATCAAATGACCAAACGATACACAGACCATGGAGGATTTAGTGGGGTAATCCTGTCTTTTTTCACACATTTCTAATGCTGTTTAGCAGCATCAAATACAATAACTTTGGTTAAAAAACTTTAGGTTTAACTATTTTCTAATGAGTTCACTGACTAATTCTCTGAATGTGTCCAAATTATCTAAGCATAACAATGTAAAGATGAATGATGTCGCAAAAATGTAATATCACAGTACTTCAAGACATTTTCTCGTTACATGATATGCATCACAATGTTTAGTTCTTTTTAGGTTTGACAAGTTGGAGCAGACAAAAAACTGACAATATATCAGTAGTGCCACAAAAACTGTCAAAAAGTATGAACACTATCATTTTTATTCAATGTTTCACAAACTGCACTGCACTAAATCAAATTAAACTAGATTAATGGAGCACTCTTTATAATGAGCCTCTCAAATTTTCAGTATTTAAGTATTGACTATTTCCATGACTTAATCAAAAAGGCATATTCTGACATAATGTGATGTATTTGATCACAGTAACAATAAATATCATCATATTGCTCACTGATGTTGTTGCATATTACATCATAGCATTTAAAGCAACCAATAGCTATTACATTCAGCAAATAGGAGGCACTTTCTTACACATGCAATATAAATAATGCTGGGAATAATAAGAATGTTGTCTGCCTCTCACATGGAAATAAACTAGAGAAGAATAGATGGTCTGAGTAAGAGACATTGAGGTCAAAGTCAGACAAAACAAAGTGAGAGAGTGGCTATTCAGTCTGCAGGTCAGGCTGTTTCTCTCAAGCTGAGAGTTTTTAAACAGGCTCAGAGTGAACCGCAGCAGTTCAGAAGTGCGTGAGAACCGTCCGGAGCCAGAGCGCTAAACCTATCCTTCCACGGAATGCATAAACCTGCCATTTCTGTTTGATTTATCCTTCTCATTCACTCTCTTCCAACTGTGGGTTGTATACAATGTGTGGAAATGGACAGACCTTAGAAGAAAAGGCCAGAGTGAGAGAGAGCTGGAGATCATCTACCTATAATGAAAATGTAACACAGCAAAAATACTGGAGGGTCAAATAAATTATAAACTGAGTGCTGAGTCATGTAGGTTTTAGCCTGTTTGAGGTATATGGTTACGTTCAGCTTCTGCTGTGCGAAGTGGCCTGTCAGCGTATATTTAACAGAAAATTACACAGAAGCCTCGACAACTAAATATAATACCATTTTTTGAGTAGTTATTGTATCCATGCTTTTGCTTTATTATAGCTTCTATTCTTTTCAGAAGGCTTGCTTTTAGTTTTTCGAAGAAATCCACAGGGATATTTTCACATTAGAAGGATAAATAAAAACACCTGTACATTTTTACAGATCTAAATCTTTTTCTCAAAGATGAAAGCTTTAAGTACTGTTTATCTGGTGACCAGGACCAGGTTGTTGGGAGTCCCATTTCTCAATATTTCTGAAATTTTTTAACTTAATTTAAAAAAAAAAAAATCTGGATTTATATATAAAATAAAAATATATAAAATAAAAAAAAAGTACATCAGTACTCCATGGGCAATATCCCATATTCAATAGGTGTTAAATATCCTTATTTATAATGTCTATATTGTTAATATATCACCATACCCATGTGCAATATAATCAGTACCTCATGTACAATTCTCCATGTGCAATATTTCCATATACAGTATGTGTAAAATATTCTTATAGTGTAAAGATTTTTTTTGCTTGTCTGTTTACAATGTTTATATTGTTTATTTTGTGAAGGATATAGTCTATACAGTAATACGTAACAATTTAACCTTGTTAAGAAATTAACAAGGTTAATTACTTGGTTAATTCTCTTCTTGTTGCTTCTTTTCTTGAGTGCCTTGCTCTCCCTTTGCTGCTGCAGCACTGTGAATTTCGCTGCTGTGGGACTAATAAAGGATTATCTTATTTTATCTCCTCAGAAATATCCTCTCAAAAATTAATAATTTCTGATTAAAGATAATTTACAATTTTCAGATTAAACGAATGAAGGATGATCTCTGACTTTTGCACAAAACTGTGCTTGTTGTCATTGCATTGTTGTTACCACATGTAGCCATCGGCATTCTCAGCAGCCCTCACACGGGCTTGTCTCTCCATTCCTTTCTGTCTCATAATCTGTTTTTTTTCTCCTCTCTTATCCTCACCAGCACCTTCTGCTCTCTTTTCCTGTGCCAGTCATCTCTACGCTCTGTGCTCTCGCAGGTTATTCTGTATCTGCCCACTGTTGTTCTCTCTCATGCACTGCATGCATTTATGACGTTTGGATAGATAGCTGTTTTTTCAGTCTTCTCTAACATATGCCTTCTTTGTTCATGTGCATGTTATTGCACATAAAGTTGTCCTCTCCGTCTTATCTGTCACTTATCTGCGTGTGTGACCTTGCCTCAAACGTTTCTGTGTATCTGTGTGTGTGCGCGTAAATGTGTATGTGGACAGATGGAAGAGCTGCTATCAGCGATGGAGAAGGTGAAGCAAGAGCTGGAGTCCATGAAGGCCAAGCTTTCGTCTACTCAGCAGTCCCTGGCTGAGAAAGAGGCCCACCTGACCACACTGAGAGCGGAGCGCAGGAAGCACCTGGAGGAGGTCCTGGAGATGAAGTAAGAGTCTGTTTTCTTGAAACGTCCATGTTTTCACTTCGTTGTTCTTGGTACTTTTTATGGATTTGGTTTATTGAGTTGTGAGTAATGAGTGGTAGCTGTAATATAGAAAGAACTGGATGAGTAATTTTAGAAGCATTGTACTGAAGATGCATCTATCTATCTGTGTATCTATGTATCTATCTATCTATCTATCTATCTATCTATCTACCTATCTATCTATCTGTCTATCTATCTATCTATTACTCATATCTAGACCATCTTAAAGTGTGTAAGTAAAACAGTACGTGTCCCGATATTGGCCTGATACTTACATTGCAGAAGGCTGTAGAATACAAATGAGTCATCTAATCAATCACAGTTTTCTTTTATTCTGTATGAGCATTTTGACCAGTCACAGTTCCAGGTGAGTGTTTCAGCAGGTGTTAATGTACTCCAACGAAAGTAAATTGTTTTGTTCACAGTGCTGTAGACCAGTCTTTTACTCTCTGTTTCATCGGTGTGCTTTGAATGTATTGCAAGGCATGTAACTAGTATTGGGTGATATGCCAATTCATCCAGTATACCTGTAGAAATTCTTCTTGAAGTATGAATTTTATCGTAACCTTTTAAACTAGTATAAGTGCCGATGACACAGTGTACAAACAGCTCCTTTAGCTAAATGACTGACTCATGGATGTTTCAGCAGCCCCTCATCTGCCGCTGTGTAGTCAGTTAGAGTCTGAAGTCCAGTTTATTGTTGAAAGGGTGAACATATATGAAGAAATCTGGTGAAATATGGCAGGAATGGGAGATCTCTTAAGATTAGACTTGGGCTTATTAATGAAACCGGACTGCTGTTTCCTTCCACACCGCCTGCGGTGTCACCTCCCTCGTTCAGCTGCATTGGGTGACACGGTGTTCTCAGGGCCTGGTCCTCCAATCCAAACCTTCTCAGCTTTTCTGTGCTAAATATGACAGCAGGAATCACTGTAATATTTACCAGACTAGCAGTGTCTGATGGCCATAGATGTAAAAAGGATTATTTAAGATAAATGACCTGAGAAATTCAGAGATGAAATAACCCAATCTTTTACATGCCCTGAGAAGATGTTGCATGCTTACGTGACCATGACATGCAGTCATCTGTATATTGTTCAGTTCTATTTTCACGTTTCCATTTGTTTTATATTTGGTTCTTATTAAAAGTGAAGGGACATTCCAGGATAATAAACCACTGTTAGCTGGACTATGTAAAAATTTTTGTTGAAACTAAAAGTAGCATTACTGAGTAAAAACATGGTAAATTATGGTGGGCATGCGCTGTTGCAAGTCATCTTGTAAAGCCTGAAATGATCATTTAAAAGTATAAAAGTATAAATTACAATTTTTAAAAGAGGCATCAGGATGAATTTCCACAGCAATATAGGTCTTTACGTATTAACATCACGCGCACAGGCTCAAAAAGAATGTCCAGCTCAATGTTTAGGCCTCAAATGCAAAATCGACATAATGAAGATATAATGACAGTAGCAGATATTTCACTCACATCCTCGAAAGATGCGTCCTTCACCAAATTTTGGCCGAGTTATCTTTGAATTTTCTGTCAGTGCACTCGAAATTGTCTCATTTATCTGCTTGAAACACAACCAAACGTTACAAAATGTATATCGCTGTTGCTGGAAGAAAACCTTGTTTTTCCATTTTTGACGTTTTTCAGTTTTTGACATAATTTGAAAATGTTGCTCTTTACGTTGTTTGTAAATTTCATGATGAATGGACTAAAAGAAATGACTTGGAAAAAAGGCTGGTTCCATTGACTTACATTAAGTAAAGTAGGTTTTGTCCTTATCCTGTAAAGTTACCATACGAGGTTTACATCCGACAACAGCGAAATATATATATACATATACAACATGCGCAAGAACATTTTTTAATATGCTTTAATGCTGAAGTCTTCGTATCCTTCAAAGCGGCCCACAGGATCCACGTGTTCCCTCAGAGCAGTCTGAGGTAGTTAAGGCTAGTGTTCTGGAGAGGCAGTAAGCTCTTGGGAGGCTGAATGGCTTTCTGAGTGCCACTTTATGAAGGTATCTTCCTCCCACACTACAGAACCTCTACAGAGACGTACCTCTCACACAGACCACTTCAGTGGAATCCAAGCACTTCTCCCTCCTCCTCCCTCTCTCCCTCACCCCTGTCTGTGCCTTCTGTTTTCCCATGCTCCTCTCTGACACATTCTCATTGCTCTCAGCCTCTCTCTTGGCTCTATCAGTCGTCATACCTTAGTAAAGGAGTTGCTTCCTTATAGAGGATAAGGCAAGTAGGACACTAGTGTTGTCACAAGACTGAGCATTTCGGGAGGTCATTAAGTCTGCGCTGTACAAGGACTGACTGATTTGAAGATTTTGCGGCCAGAGATTATTTTAAGTTGGTAAAAAAAAATAAATAAATAACAAGTACAAAATTAAATAGGTTCCCATAGTTTTATTTCTTCACAGACTGATATAATTGACAGTTTGAATTGACAACTGTGGATTGTCAAATATAATTTAACTGTTAATTGTCTCATTTCTTAAACTCAAACAGCAGAAATTCACAAAATCTTCAGTTTTCTTCACTTCTAGTTCAAACTAAAGGTGAAGCTTTGATGGATTGTACACAATTGTGTTATTTTAACAGTGATGTTTTGTGTTCAGTTTTACCAGTGCAGTTTGTAGAGCTGTAATACAAATCAGTAGGTGACACAAATGGCATTCTTCATGTGAGAGCTGTCTGTTTGTTGCAGTTATAAAATAATTTTCTGTGCGTAGTTCTATAATGAATGATTCAGTTTAACTCAGTTCAAATGAATTCACTACAATTCAGATTTATTTGTGTAACAGTTGTTGCTGTCCTATCTGCGTCCTCTGTCCTCTGCACCGTTGTCGCACATGGGTACACAGGGGGGTCTGTATGGGGATCTGTACCCCACATGCCTATCTTTTTACGATGATGTATTAGTGGATTAGCTTGGGGAAGCATTTCATCAGATCAGCAAGATTAGCAAATGATGAACACCAGCCACGTACATCACTATAAAGCAGTTTTTAGTGCAGAAACTGCTATATAAGCAGTCTTGTTCTCAGTTCAATACTACTTAATGTGAGGTTTCTTTCTAGGAGTGAGAGTGTTCATATTAGAGTTAAGAGAGACGAGAGAGATACGGACAAAAACCTGCTCAGTGATACTGTCATTTTGTGTGAGCACATATTTATGACTGTCACCTCACTCCCTATATAGTGCGCAGCACAGCTCACGCATATGTGGCTTCTGTACCCAAATAGTGCATTAAATAATATGCAGCTTTGGCTGTATATAAATGACTTTCATTATAGACATATAACAGACTGTTTGTATGTAGAAGCTGTTATGTATTGACCTATGTAGTGTGCTCTACATAGGAAGAAAGAAGCCATTTGAGATTGAGCCTGTATTCTTTTCATCTTGATTCATGTTGTTGTTACTGTAGCACCTACACAGGCTAGGAATGCTGTCTTACACAAAGCAAAACCACTCAGATAGATAATCACACCAAACGTTGTGCTTTCACTGATAATAAGTAGGACATCACAACAAAATATGCATGTGATTTCTATTGGGAAATATGTCACAGACTGGACTACTGCGATAAAATGCTCATACATGCACGGTACAGATTGGGTGGTGTTGGGAAAAGTAATGTGCTGTACGCATGTGTGAGAGTGATGCGCATGCACAGTGCAAATCAGGCAAGGGACGCAGGTCGGAGTTTACGATAGTGCTGTTTACAATAGGCGAGTTATGTGGGATTTAAAAATAGAAATTATTGCTTACGATAATAAAAGTAATAATGATCAGTGCTTTATTTGTGTTCTTTGCTAGTACTCATAAATCCTTGCCACTTCTAACCAGCCAGTTTAATCAGCCAACTGTTTGGGCCCTATTTTAGAAACAAGATGGTGGTCCAGGCTTAAAAGGAGTCATTGCCCCAGTATATATCCCCCTTTTCTCTCTTTCTTTGGACGTGATTGATGTGGCTCCACCTGGCAGGGTTTGAACTCTGGAGCTGAGACCTTGTCTGCCTGCCCAAAGAGCTTACACAGGTTCCTGCTGGAAACATTAACATCATCCCACCTCCTCTACTACATGGCAGTTTGTTTGAATATGCCACAAAAAATGGAATTTATCATTAGACATGAGCCTCGGCGTGCATTTATAAAGTACAGAGAGACTGTTATGGGTAAGTGAGTTGCATAACCTCTCTGATGGTGTGAGTAAATTATCCCTTGTATATACTGCATGCTATTATTAAAGCAGGTGACGTACATATATCAAACATGTATGAGAGGATTCTGGGAATGGTATGGATTTCCATAAGCCTGCTGTGATGCTGCATGTAAAGGAGGAGTTTGAAGTTTCTCTTTGCAGAGTCCCTCTTTTGATGTGCTGGATGTTAACTTCACACGCCCACTGCTTTTCTGTGGAGGGAATATCAAACAAGTTTTAGAATAATGGAATAATGGAAAAGTGAGTCAGAACTCGTGTTTCAAGGACTTTTCCCAGCAATTTCCAGTGGTTTGCCGCGTGTCGGAAGTTTCCTCGGGGACAGGTACCACGCACATGCTTGAGTTACATTCCCACAGGAGATGCGGCATTAAAAGATAAAGAGTGGCCTTTCTGATGGTGGAATGAGGCTCTTCATCTTGGTGTAATGTGTTTGAGTCAATGCTGCCTTCAGATTGCCATAAAAGTCCTCCTGCCCGTGTGTCCAAAACCAGGTCAGCAGATTAGGACAGGGAAAAGTGTGTCTCTCCTCAAGCCCCTCGCGCTTAACCGCACGCTTTCAGAACAAAACGTCACTGCCAAGAGAAAATAAGACCATGAAGGCCGTTCTGATGCCTGTATGTGTAGGGAGGAAGTTTAGAAGCCGTTTTAACGGGGGTCCTGCTGGTCTCTCTAGTGACAAGAACAGTGCGATCGCGGCAGTGACAAGTGTTGCT